ACAAAAAATGATTAAAATAAAATTTGGGCAAGGACTGAAAGTCAAAAGCGTTGAATTGAAGTCAGTATTTCTATAGTTTTCATAAATAATAATTTGATTTGTTGGAAATAGAAAAATCATTGATTAGCTCGTGGGAAATGATTGATGTAATCATAAAATAAATACGGCTTAAAAACGACATAAAAGACAGTCGACGAGGAGAAAATTTCAGTTAACAATTCGTCATTTATTTCGCATCGCTCAGTGACATTTTTCATTGTCAAATATATTTCCAAAACAAGCAGTATAAATTCTACCGTAAAATCCAGCAGAATGTTACTTTTCGTCGTATTTTTCGCAATTATCATTGGTATGTTTGATAGAGATTTCATTGCATATTACATTCTTCGAGGCGATAAATTGCAAATATGAGGAAAATGTAGTATTTGATCGAAATCAAAAAACTTTTCAGATCTGATTTAATTTTAAAAAGTGATGATTTAGTGAAGCTATTGCAGCTGCAGAAGGTCGATTAACGGATGAGCAACGTTCAGATTTCCTTAATCTGCATAATGAATATCGTTCACTTCTTATTAGGGGAAAGTATAAAAATAAAGATGGCAAATACATGCCACATGGAATGAATATGTTCGAATTGGTAAAAAATATATATTTAAAAATTGTTCGAATAATCAATCTTTTCATTATCTTCTTCACATATGTAATAGCTGTCGAATTACTTAACATTAGCATTGGTATTAATCGTTATCTATTAATTTGTCAATTGTTCAGACGTGGAATGATGACCTAGAAAAAGATGCACAAAAAAGAGCAAATCGCTGTTGGTTTAAACCCTTATCTAAAAATGGTAGAAAAAAAATCGGTGAAAATGTTTTTGTTCGTTGGACACCAACAGGCGTTAAAGGTATGTGTATATATTTATGCTATTCAAGTTTTGATAAAATCATATTATTAGTATATATGAAAGTAAATGAAATGCTTAGGGTCAAAAATATAACTTAATAATAATAATAATAAATACTGATGTAGAATAGAAAATGTATTACCATAAAACGGATAAACGCAATTTCGTTTTCAGATTTTACAGAAAGTATTGTCGAGGTTGCCTGTAAAATGTGGTGGTCAGAACTTAAGGAAGAATACAGAGATAATCGAAGAAATACTTTCATAGCTGACAATGTTAAAAAGGCCCAGCATTTTACACAGGCAAGGAAATGTTCACAAAAATAGAAATACCTAATTAAATCTTCCCTAATTTTTCAATGTTTTCGTTTAATAAAAATCATTCTTTTCTTTATGCATGAATAATATTTTAAATGCATTCATTAACATTTTTGTTTTCTCGCAATAAGGAAAGCTCAAAGAATAATACCTTTATGCAGCCTACCTCTTTACACCTGAGATAATGGATGGCTTTTATTAATTACATACATTATTTTATGATCTCAAGATATTGAAGAGATTACAATAGTTCTTCCGATACTGTGCAAAAATATCTTCTGCTTTCTATTTTCATCAAGCAGGACGTGAAAAGTTATTTGGATGTTTGCTTGGCTTGAGACAATTCTAGAAATTTAATTTTTGCATGAAAGATAAAACTGAATAAATGAATTTCATTTCCCATATAATTTGCATGAAATAACCTTTACTTTTGGAATGGATTTCCTGTGAATTTTATTTCAAAAGTGTTTATTTTCAGATGGCTTGGGGCAAAACACGTGAAATTGGCTGCGGTATTGCCTCACATTGCCATGATAATCACGCATTCCACGTCATTTGCCACTATAAGCCTCGGTAAGCGTTCGTATCATTGTCAAAGTCAATCTTCCAAAATATTTATGCTGATAATTACGGTTTGTTATTAAGCTTGCTATTTTGTATCTTTGAATTATGCCTCAACAAACAAAACATCTCAGGAATTTCTTTATCATTCTTGCCGTATTGAATAAACCATACATGCTTTATCCAATTCGTAAATTAAAATTTCAGTGGAAATATACCAAATGAATTGATATATGAACTTGGCGAGCCATGCCAAGGCGATTGTGATGGTGGAGAATGCTTGGGAGACACTGGATTGTGTCGAAAACAGGACTACCTAAATTTATTCTTTCATTTATTAAAAAAAACTTTTGAAATGAAATCTCTCATATGATGTGCTTGTCGCGAATTTCGATTCGCGAAGCATCAACCATACAAACAAAT